CGGGTTTCACCATGTTGGCCAGGGTGGTTTTGAACTCCTCAGGTGATCCGCCCGCCTTGGCCTCCCAAAGTGCGGCATGAGACACCGCACCCGGCCCCGCATGGGGTTTAGAAGTAGCTCAGCACAGCATGTGGCGGGTGCCACCCAGGGAGGTGGCACAGGGGATAAAAGTCCACGGAGGACAAATGCAGTCGGTGTGGAAATCAAGCCCCGACTTGTGGGGCCGATGCCGTGAGCAGCCACAAGGTGGCCTCAGTGAGCCCAGGGACCGGCAGGTGCAGGGAAGGTGGGAGGCTAGTGCACAGCTAAGGCTAAGAGAGACGTGGCAGGGTCCCCCTGGGCAGCAGGTGGGGACTCAGCTCACCCTGGTTCCTGGCTGCACAGCTCACAGTGGGCACCTCACCTGAGGAAGAGGAAGGGCAGCCTGCGGCCAGCGGGTGAGCCAGAACCCTCCCACCTGCGCTGGGGCACCGAAGGCAATCACAGGGCAGCTGAACCCACTGCAGAGCAGGGCCCGAGGACCGGCTTGAGAGCAGGGGCCTCAGGCTAGCTCTCAACAGGCCTCAACCCATCCCCTGAGTCCCCCAAGCCCTTCCCAGCCTCCACCCCCTGCTGCAGGCCACACCTTCAGCCTGGGCCCTTCTGTGCTGAGGGCTGTGCCCTGGAGGCCACGTGGGGCAGACCGGGACTGCCTGGGCCCTGGAGCAGCGTCTCTGAGGCTTCAGCCCAGGGGAGCTGACTGGGTTCACGGCTACATTCACACCACACTCCTCCTCCAGGCTGGGCCAGGCAAGAGGAGGGAGATGAAGGAGGGCTGGGATGGCCTTGCTGGTTCTCAGGGTCGCTCATCTCTGGGGTTCTGGCTGGAGCTAGGGGCAGAGGAAGGACAGGCTGGTGGAAGGGGCCAGAAGCCCACTAGGGGGGCTAGGAAGCCCAGACCTAGGGAGGCCCAGGGCCAGGACCTCAGACATTCTGACCTGCCAGGATGCCTGCCTGTGTCCCGCCCCACCCAAAACAAGGTATCCAGGGACACTGGCCTGTGGCAGACATGCCCACAGCTTTGTTGTGTGCCCCTCTTTGTTCCCCTCCTTTTGGGGAGCTGCCCCTATCCCTGCACTTTAACAGATTAACCTAGTGCCAGCCACTGCCCCCACCCACCAGCCCCTGACTCAGGCCAGATAAGTGAAAACCATCTGACCACAGAAGAGGAGACTGGGGGCACCGCAGGGTCCCAGGTGGCCGGAGGTCAGCCCCAGGGCGGGTGACCGAGAGGCCAGTGGTCTGGAGGATCCTGAGCCCCCCGCAGAGGGGAGCAGGCCCTTGGTGCCTTTCCTTCCAAGAGGGGAATCTGAAGGGAGAGTGTGACATTGATCCAGGATCCACCGTGCAGTTGCCAGTGACAGAGGCCAGTGGAGGTGACCACAGCTCCTGCCGAGGACAGTCCTGGAGACGGATGGTGGGGCTGGTATCTGTCTTAATTTGCTGCATCGCTAGAATGGAATACCGGAGGCTGGGGAATTTATAAAGAAAAGGTCGTGGCCAGGCCTGGAGGCTCACACCCATAATCCCAGCACTTCAGGAGGCTGAGGTGAGTGGATCACCTAAGATCGGGAGTTCGAGACCAGCCTGACCAACAT